TTGATAAACAGTCAACTAAGCCTGATTGTTTGTAACACTCACCGGCGTTACAATATTATACACGCAAGCGTCACTATATGGCCCATTAACTAATTTAATGCGTAATTAAAAAAAAGATTTCCAAAGTTGAGAGGACCGCGACAACCAGCGGACCTCCAAGGCTAACGGCAGCCAGGGCTAACGTTAGCCCGTCTATATCTCTCTGCATAGTCGTGCGTTAGCCCATCCGCAGAGCCAGGGACGGGCTAACGCAGTCAGGGCTGATGTTAGCCCTGGCTGTGTTAGCCCTGGCTGACGTTAGCCCTGGCTCTGCGGACGGGCTAACGTTAGCTGGTACAGCTGTCAGTCTGGAGAACGGAAAAGTCTGCTCTATTGCATGCTGGGTAAAGAGGGAGGAGCCAGAACAACATCCGGGGACTTTGTCCGTTCTCAGTCTGTTGTTCTAGTGCATTGGAACAGTACAAGGGCTGAGGATGATGGCGTTTCACAAGGACGCACAAGTACACAGATTGAGAAACAGCCATAGTTTAACAAACGGAATCACTGGTGGCGCACCGCATCACCATGGATATGACCATCAGGGTCTCTGTTTGTGAGGCGATGGTTTCATTGTCACGTAAACTGCTGCAATGTTTTTATGACTTGGTGTGACTTAGCTTTTGTTTGGACCCTATCAGATTAGCAGCTAGCTTTAGCCACGGCACCAAGAGGTAAGATGTTTCCCTTTGGCTCAGAAATGCTGATAAAATCCTGGTTATACGATGAGCAGAAGCTCAGTTGAACCATTTTAACCCTTCATGCTCCAACAGGGAGCGTCTTCCTGTCCAAGGGTTGCTGTCGGCTGGTTCTAAGAGATCCAACCAGATTTAATCAGCCTGTAGTTTCCAAGCAATTTCATGCACTGATGATGAATTTGACGCTTTTGATTGATCTGGTTACCGTGGGAACGTTCCTGTTCATTGTACACCATAGTTATTTCTGAATATATATGTCTGTATGCTAACTCTGAGGTAAATGTTATCCACTTAGGATCCACCTGTGCCACCAGGTGAGGAACTCCTTTCTTTAATCTGATGTTATATGGATGCTTGGATCCAAACCTCGACCAACTCATCGCAGGCTGATGGATAGACAGCAGTGACCTCTGACCCTGCAGACCAGTCAGAGGGGTTTGGACTGAGACTCCGTCATCAGATAGAGAGCATAGCTGGGATTTCTGCAGCCTGTTGCTGACATTTGCAAACAGCTCTCAGGTGTGAATATGTTCCTCCTGGATAGAAATGGATGCAGCTTCAGGCTCCTTTATTCAGATAAAATCATGTCCTGCAGAACAGATGATGAAGTCCCTCATCTTAGAAACATTCATTTCCCACTTTATTCCCGTCAGGCAGAAGCAGCGGGAATGTTCTTTGTTTAGCGTCTGCAGGTTTGCTGCTAGCTCAGTTATTATGTTCAGCAAAAACACCTGTTAATAGACATCAGGAGCTCTTTCTTAAAGTCAAATCATTTTCCTAAATATTCAGTATTCTGTCTTTGGAGACTGGCTTCATCTTTTGTTGTTCCCTCCAACTTTAGCTTTGCAGAAATGGTCATCGTTTCATTATTGTTCCTTATTGAGAAGTGTGGATGCGGATAGCAGGGAATGGATGCATGTGTTTGTTCCTGTAGTGCAGCAGGTCTGGAGGGGCATGGTGTCTAAATATGAACAGTTTGGTGGGTGGGCATATTCTAGGCTCTCTGAGTGTCTCTGTGTGATTAGAGTGTCAGTCTCAGTGGGGGAGGAAGAGTTGTAGAAGAAGGAAAAGTAAATGTGTGAACATGTAATTAGAGTGAGAGCTGGAGGTGCTGCCTGTGCAGCTTAATATAGTGGCTGTCAAGAAGTCATCACTCCCTATCTTTGGAAAAGTGTTGCTCTTCACCCACTGCTGCCTGCCGCCGTGCCTCCCCCCCCCCCACGACCAGCAACAAATGCAGCAGAAAAAGGTTCTGCACTGATAGAGAACTTCATGACTGGGATTATTTAAACAATTATTTCTCCACAGCAGAGACTCAGTCATCCTATGAAAAACGAAAACATGATTTGCAGCGTTCTGCAGAGTGAAGGGAGAAAGTCAGCGCAATCTTTCAATGATTTACCGCTCATGGTAACAGTTAGCATGGTTTACCAGCTCATGGTAACAGTTAGCATGGTTTACCAGCTCATGGTAACAGTTAGCATGGTTTACCAGCTCATGGTAACAGTTAGCATGGTTTACCAGCTCATGGTAACAGTTAGCATGGTTTACCGCTCATGGTAACAGTTAGCATGGTTTACCAGCTCATGGTAACAGTTAGCATGATTTACCGGCTCATGGTAACAGTTAGCATGATTTACCGGCTCATGGTAACAGTTAGCATGATTTACCGGCTCATGGTAACAGTTAGCATGATTTACCGGCTCATGGTAACAGTTAGCATGGTTTACCAGCTCATGGTAACAGTTAGCATGATTTACCGGCTCATGGTAACAGTTAGCATGATTTACCGGCTCATGGTAACAGTTAGCATGATTTACCGGCTCATGGTAACAGTTAGCATGGTTTACCGGCTCATGGTAACATTTAGCATGCTTTACCAGCTCATGGTAACAGTTAGCATGGTTTACCAGCTCATGGTAACAGTTAGCATGGTTTACCGCTCATGGTAACAGTTAGCATGGTTTACCAGCTCATGGTAACAGTTAGCATGGTTTACCAGCTCATGGTAACAGTTAGCATGATTTACCAGCTCATGGTAACAGTTAGCATGGTTTACCGCTCATGGTAACAGTTAGCATGATTTACCGGCTCATGGTAACAGTTAGCATGGTTTACCAGCTCATGGTAACAGTTAGCATGGTTTACCGCTCATGGTAACAGTTAGCATGGTTTACCAGCTCATGGTAACAGTTAGCATGGTTTACCAGCTCATGGTAACAGTTAGCATGATTTACCAGCTCATGGTAACAGTTAGCATGGTTTACCGCTCATGGTAACAGTTAGCATGGTTTACCGCTCATGGTAACAGTTAGCATGGTTTACCAGCTCATGGTAACAGTTAGCATGGTTTACCAGCTCATGGTAACAGTTAGCATGGTTTACCAGCTCATGGTAACAGTTAGCATGATTTACCAGCTCATGGTAACAGTTAGCATGGTTTACCAGCTCATGGTAACAGTTAGCATGATTTACCAGCTCATGGTAACAGTTAGCATGGTTTACTGCTCATGGTAACAGTTAGCATGGTTTACCGGCTCATGGTAACAGTTAGCATGGTTTACCGGCTCATGGTAACAGTTAGCATGGTTTACCGGCTCATGGTAACAGTTAGCATGGTTTACCGGCTCATGGTAACAGTTAGCATGGTTTACCGGCTCATGGTAACAGTTAGCATGGTTTACCAGCTCATGGTAACAGTTAGCATGGTTTACCAGCTCATGGTAACAGTTAGCATGGTTTACCAGCTCATGGTAACAGTTAGCATGATTTACCGGCTCATGGTAACAGTTAGCATGATTTACCGGCTCATGGTAACAGTTAGCATGGTTTACCAGCTCATGGTAACAGTTAGCATGATTTACCGGCTCATGGTAACAGTTAGCATGATTTACCGGCTCATGGTAACAGTTAGCATGATTTACCGGCTCATGGTAACAGTTAGCATGGTTTACCAGCTCATGGTAACAGTTAGCATGATTTACCGGCTCATGGTAACAGTTAGCATGATTTACCAGCTCATGGTAAGCAGTGGGTGAAGAGCAACACTTTTCCAAAGATAGGGAGTGATGACTTCTTGACAACCACTATATTAAGCTGCACAGGCAGCACCTCCAGCTCTCACTCTAATTACATGTTTACACATTTACTTTTCCATCTTCTACAACTCTTCCTCCCCCACAGAGACTGACACTCTAATCACACAGATAGCGTTTCTAAATATGCGTTCTTGAGCGTTCTCGTGTACTCGTGACACGCCATCAGCCTCAGCCCGAGTACCGTTCCAATTCTCGAGAACGCCAGATCGAGAACGCACCATATCCCCGGATGTTGTTCTGGCCCCGCCCTCTTTATCGAGCATGCATCAGAGCAGACTTGTGCGTTCTTCAGACTGAGCGCTTCCCCAGAATGCCCCGCGGCCGCAGCTTGATTCCAGACAGCGCTCACAGTGTTAAGTTAAACATTCCCTTTTCTGCTGCTGTTGTTCTTCAAAAGTACGTTTTGAAATCGTTTGAGGCGATAACATTATACATTGAAGCCTCCCTGTGTGGCCTGTTTACAGAGTTAGTGCGAAATTTAAAAAAAAAGTCCGACGTTGAGCGGACCAGAGTGACCAGCAGACCTCCGAGGGTAACCGCAGCCAGGGCTAAATTTACCCCGTCTGTAGCGCACTTCTCTCGCTCTAGTTATGTGTGAACTACCGCTCGTTCTGATGGCGTTTTTTTGCGGTTCGGTAATTTTTTTAATGTTTTTTAAGCTTTAGAAATTAAAAATATTGTTTTCAAAATGTTTTGTGTAGGGAATAAGTAGTTTTGACTGTTAAAGAAATGCTAAACAACGTTGCATGTGATGACGTCACGAGTACGCTTCTGCTCCAATACGCATACGTGCTTGCGTGCTCGCGTTCTCGTCAAGTCCGATCTTCCTGCGTTCTCGCCAAGAACGGAGTTGACGAGAACGCGAGTACGTACTCGCGTTCTCGTGAATTGAGAAACGCCCAGAGACACTCAGAGTGCCTAGAATATGCCCACCCATACCGCCACCTTCTGCTCTGGAGTGTAAACGATTTGCCTATGAGAAAAAGGAGCAGCGCATGAACCGAACGCAACACATGCGAACCGAACCGAGACGGTCGAACCGAACATTTCGGACGGTTTTCATAAACCTTTCCATCCCTATTACAGGCTCATGGTAACAGTTAGTATAAACTCATATTTAGCTGTCCGATAAAGTCTGCAATGAATGGCGGTCCTGGAAGCTTCAAACCTTTTCTCCATTAGCACTTCCCAGCACATAGCAGCCCATTACGTGGATCAGGTTAGGCTCCGGGTTCAGTTTGCTCATCAGCCTGCTGAGACGCCTCCAGAACCTGAAAACACGACACAAAGACAAGGTAAAAAAAACAGTCAGTAAGAACCGTCAAAGGCTGAAACACAGAGAAGCATCCATCTTCCCGTCAACCCCAATCAGATTCCTTACAACATATTCTAAGTTATTCCGTCACACAGAGCTCTGATAAAGAACTTTACACTCTATATTGACTAAACTTTAAAAGCTTAGGAATTTTTCAAGCAACTAAAGATTCATCAATAGTCTCTATAAATTCAAATTAATGGATAATGAAATAAAACCCCACAGCTGAATAAAATCCTCCATGTTCTGAATGGAAGGGAAACTCCATCTTATTGTGGCTTTAACCTCCACAGAGCCACGGCATCAAGGTGAGCTCCGTCCTGCAGTCTGTCTCTGCAGGACAGGTTAACGGCCATCTTTGCTTCACTCATTAAAACATTTAAAAGTCGGCCTTTGGCTCATTTCTTCTATTCTGGCAAACTTCTATAAATAGAGAATTTATAAAAAACCATCCCAAAAAGACTAAAAACACTAATTAAAAGGCTAAAAATGGTCTTTACTCTTATTAATTCCATAAAAACACGCTTTCAGACAGGCCTCAGAAAGGTGTTTAAAAAACCTTGATAAATAACCGATAAAAACCAGTTTAAGGCGATGACGCCGTGTAAAATCCTCCACTGTAGATCACCAGTTGGTTTTTTAATTAGAGGCATGTATAAGAATGAGAAGTTGTTCTGTCCAGATGCAGACCGGTGGCTCTGAAGGTGTCTTTGGTTTATTCATTTTGTGCTAAAAGGCTTTCTGCTCCATATTGGATCAAACCATTCTCTGATGGTCCTGCTGGAGAGCAGAGGTCCGCTTTGCTCAGAGAAACAAGGATCCAGCCATCTTTCTGGCTGTTTTTCTTCAATGTTCTCCCCATTTCAATAAAAAAAAAAAAAACACGGTCTAGATCTGATCCAAGCTATCAGCCAGAGCTGGCAGCCATGTTTCTGTTGGTAATGTCCTCCGTCTGACTACAGGGTACTGAAGTACGTTTTTAAAACTGTGCTACAGAGAAATGTTTTGGTCGGGTTTTCATTTCATTAACCATCTATGTTATCTTGTTTTTGGCCCCTGATTGGTTACATCATCTTCCTGTTTGCAGGCGCATTATTAAAGACACTACCCACAGCGCCCTGGTAAAGCTGGTAGACCTGAGGCGGGACTAACAGGGTCATCAGGTTACAACCAGTCACATGGTGGTTCAGCAGATAATTCAGTCTTCTTCTTCTACTGCTGAAGCGTGACGGATCATTTTCATCTGTTAGCAGCGTCAGACTGGAGCGCTCTCGCTAAACGCTACTTTCTAAGGGACTCAGTTCATCATGAAGGGAAGAATTCTGATTGGACCGTTTCTATGTTTATTATAAACAAACTCATTTCTACATTTGAATTAAACAGGCTAAAGCAGCCGATTTGGAAGCTTTTTATTATATATTATATTTAAAGGTCTTCAGGGGTCAGAGGTCAGAACATTTCATAGAGCTGCCATCAAACTGCTCGATGTCCCATAAATATTCAGTCCTGTCTTTTTCATGTTGGAAGCAAGAAAACAAAAATGAGCAAATCATAAAACACTCACTGCTCCATGTCTTCCTCCTTCTCTACCTTGGCGAAGGTCGCAACTTTATTCTTCAGCAGGTAGAGATGCCCTGGACCCCCCTGAGAACAGAGGTCACACTATTAGCATAGAGTAGAATAGAATAGAGGGGAGTAGAGTAGAAAGAATAGAGTAGAATAGACCCCCCTGAGAACAAAGGTTACACTATTAGCATAGAGTAGAATAGAGTAGAATAGAATAGACCCCCCTGAGAACAGAGGTCACACTATTAGCATAGAGTAGAATAGAGTAGAATAGAATATACCCCCCTGAGAACAGAGGTCACACTATTAGCATAGAGTAGAATAGAATAGAGGGGAGTAGAGTAGAAAGAATAGAGTAGAATAGACCCCCCTGAGAACAAAGGTTACACTATTAGCATAGAGTAGAATAGAGTAGAATAGAATAGACCCCCCTGAAAACAGAGGTCACACTATTAGCATAGAGTAGAATAGAATAGAGGGGAGTAGAGTAGAAAGAATAGAGTAGAATAGACCCCCCTGAGAACAGAGGTCACACTATTAGCATAGAGTAGAATAGAATAGAGGGGAGTAGAGTAGAAAGAATAGAGTAGAATAGACCCCCCTGAGAACAGAGGTCACACTATCAGCATAGAATAGAATAGAGTAGAATAGAATAGACCCCCCTGAGAACAAAGGTTACACTATTAGCATAGAGTAGAATAGAGTAGAATAGAATAGACCCCCCTGAGAACAGAGGTCACACTATTAGCATAGAGTAGAATAGAGTAGAATAGAATATACCCCCCTGAAAACAGAGGTCACACTATCAGCATAGAATAGAATAGAGTAGAATAGAATATACCCCCCTGAAAACAGAGGTCACACTATCAGCATAGAATAGAATAGAGTAGAGTAGAAAATCCCTTTATTCTCCCTCAATAGGGAAATTCTGGTGTTTTTAAAGCAGCGAAAAGCTTATATAAAAAATGGTCACACAAATGTGGACCTTAGAAAAGTGACTCAGAATGACCGAATAGTGAAGAATTAACCATAAAATCCTGTAAAGTGTTTTCTATTCCTGCTAAAGGTGTTAAATGAGCAGCTGAGTCCGTCAGCAGCAGCAGAAAAATGGATCATTTCTCTGATGAGCGCCGCTCATCTCCCTGCTGCTGTTAATATCAGGCAGCTGATCAACACTGATGATGTCACTTCCTGCTGCTGGTTCTGTGATGCTACGTTCAGCAGCAGCAGAAAAAACACGTCTGCTGCTTCATTTCTGCTGCTTGTACAAAGTTTAGATCTGACGCACGGCTGAAGCATCTTCACTGCTTTATCTGCGTGGTGGAAAAGTGAGTCCAGATGCTTCTGCTGCTCCTGTGTTCGATGCCAGAGAGCAGCTTTGCTATATTAGCTGTGATCAGCGGGTAGAAAGTAGTTAGAATCTATGTTGAAGTGAGAAAGTCCTCCTGAAAACATGGTCTGTGCAGTCAGTTCATCCAGATTACCATCCTGCCTTCAAAGATTATTTCTCTGTGGGAGCCGCTCAGACCCCCACATACCGGCGCTGCGCTGTCACTGGGAATCCCCAGCAGCAGCTGCCTCAGGCCCGCTCGCCTCTCCAGGGTTTTCCCCTCCTGTTGGTGGCGGCTGGAAGTAGATGTTAGCGTTTTTCAGGTCTGTGCTACAAACTGCAGGCAGCAGGATAATAAAAGCCAACATATTCTGCCGGCAGGTTTCTACATTTGAAGTTAATTTAGGCGTTAATAAACTGTTCCAGAGGAGTGATCATAGCGCTCTGCATCAGCAGTGCTGCGTCTGACTCCCTGCCAGCTCCCAGATCAGCTTCTCTCATTGGTTGATGCGGCGCGTCCAGCAGCTGCTGCTTGTGAAGCGCCTCAGATGCTCAGAAGCTCCTGCTGCTCTGATGCTGCTCTGATGCTACACCTTGATGCGCGTCAATCATTGACTTTGAATGTAAACTTGCTGCTTCTGCTGCTTTAGGTGTGAACGTAGCATGAGAAGCAATGAGTTGCCATGTTTTATGATGTGCAGCTTAACAGCAGTGAGCAGCTGAGCGGGCATGCAGCTGTTGCTCTGTTAGAGCTCATCTTTGCTCTTCTGACAGAAAGTTTAAGCATTAAAAAATTATCCAGTTATAATGATATTAATTTAAGAAATGAACTTTTCAGTTTTGGTTCTTCTGAGCCTAAACGTTTGTTCTGAACTGCTGCTGTTGCTGATTGCTCTGTCTGATGATCAGCTACAGCTTGGCTTTGCTTTCTAAGGTACCTGTGGTCCAAAGGTTCTTAGAGGATGAAATGGTTTTAGCATGAAGTAACGGAGGATGGTCTCCAGGCTGCTGGCTGTCGGTTACCTGGCAGAAAATCAGCATGTTCCAGATTCTGCAGCCTTTCCTGTAGGAACTCAGCTTCTTCTCTATCTCCTCTGGAGGGAAACCAAAGTGAGGCGTCACTTTTCCCACTCAGCTTTCTGGTGAGAAACATGGATTCCTCCAGAACCAGTGAGTCATCTCTGCACTCAACCTCCTCTAAACTCACATCCTTTAACAACATGAGGCGCTGTGAGCATTCAGAGAGGAGGAGCAGAACTTACCCAGGATGTCATCAAAGGTGGCGTGTTCATGGTCCTTTAAACACAACATTAAAAACATGCATTAATATTCTGCTAAACAACCAACAGGAATAGATATCAGCTCCCAGTTTGGCTGAATTCAAACTACGTCTAACAGTAGAAATGGAAAGAAGCAGCGATGAATGGGAAACGCCTCAATCACTTCACGCTAACATCAGGATCACTGCTGCGTTTTAAAGGGGGTCAGCCGTAGCATCACTAGCTGTGAACCTTCCTCTCTGGCCGTTTTCCCCTAATTAAGACAAACCTTTCAGAATCTCTTAACTTCATGAATTACAGTAGAACAGATTAGCTGAGAAACAGCCAGGTCTCCATCGTTCCACCAATCAGCTGCTTTTATTTAACCTGAGTGGAAAACTTCCACAGAAAAAAAACAGGCGTCCTTCAGTCAGACCGCGTCTTTAAATAGCAGAAAAAGTTAGTTATGAAAAGACCAGAGTCTGTTTTTATTCTGATTTACATCAAAAGCTGCTAAAATAAAATGTTCATCTTTCAGCTTCCTCACTGAAGAGTGTGATGCTCACTGGGAGCAGCTGAGTTCCAGTGTTTAGATTGGTCCAACCGTCTAATCAGGGCTTTGATACCCGCTACAATGCAGTGATGCTTCACCCAAAATACGCTCATTTCTAACACGTCAGAAATTTCCCACAATGCACCAGACCAGCCGACAGTAACGGAAGTAAGTTAGCATTCAGTACTCACGTATAGAATAGGGATGATGGAGGGATCGTCCCTCCGGATGATGTTGGGAACATATTCGGCCTTCGGTACTTTAGAGGAGATGAGCTGTGAAATAATAATAACATCATTAACGGCTGCGTCAGACGCAAGAAGAAGAAGAAGAAAGCTGGAAAACAACAGAACTAAACGTGTAACATTAGAAGGTGATCCGTGCTTTTCACAACAATTCACTCATTTAAAAATGAAGGGCTAGTCAGAAATAAGAAGTTTGACAAGTCCAGTTAGAAGGAAACAAAACTTCACAACATTTAAGATTCAAGAAGAATATTACTTTAATTATAACATTAATCCATAAAACTCTGAGTCCTCTAGATCCTCTATTCCAGCAGTAACTAATTAAAACTCATCAGGGTCTGAATAAAAGAAATCATCAACCAGTAAAGGAGACATTTTTAATTATAATCTGTTACTTTAAACAGAATTTAACACTGAAATAAAATGAGGTTTTTTATGCATCCATGTTATACACTGAATTTTTAAATAAAAAGATTTAAAGTTTTTCCATTTTAAAGTCTAAATAGTTTTTTAAGTAGAGATCAACAATCGTTCAGTTTGGTTTATAGATAATTTCCTGATTCCCATATTTTCTCAAACCCCTGAACTGACCGTTTGTTATTTTTCTTTTTTCTGTCTTAATGTTGGCAGTGGGCTTTAGGCTGCCCTGCAAGGCTTTAAACCTGGGTTTAACCGGAGACTAAGCCATTCTCAAGCACATATCAAGGAGCTCATTTTGAGCCTGGATCCAGATTTATTGTTGATTCTGTTCATGGTGGAGAATCTGTGGAAGCTCATTGGTAGAATTCCCTTATGACAGAAAGAAGGCCACGATTCACACCATTTTATCCTCTGGAGGAGGGAAACATTTATTAAAATTCATAATTCCTACTGCTGTCTTTAACACTTCATAAGTTTATAGGTTCATTTGAACATTTCTTTAAACAGCAGAATATTTTGGCTTAAACTCCATGAAGGTTTTAGTTAATGTTGGAATCAGCCTTTCTTTATTGGTTCGGTTGATATTAAGCTTTGAATTAATTTAAGGAAGAAATAAAGTTTACTGACCATAACTTTAGGCGGGATGAAATCCTCTCCTTGGCAGGACAGCCTCTCCTCCTCCCACTCAGCATCCTCACCCAACCCTTCATCCAGAGTCCCTGAGGAGGTCTGCAGCTCTGCACCTGCCGCACACACCAGAGCAAGGGTGAGAGGAGCGGGGCGCACCCCGTTAAAAGCCCCCCACCTGGAGGAACGCAGCAGCCTCCCTCTGCACCCCCCCACATAACCAGACATGACACCATGCAGCAGGCGGGTTGGCAAAAGGCAGGCGGCCATGGCAGGCACCAGCAGGCGGGTGGGGGGCAGGAAGGCGGGATGAAGATGGCTCAGTGGATCAGGGCGGATCCTGACGGACGGAGGAGCAGCGCCTGTGGAAATCAGCGAGTGTTTGTTCCATCTGTGTGGAGGTCTACATGTGGACCTGTGTCACCATGTAGGTGGGGGCGTCCTTTATATAAAGCCTTCCAAAAGTATTCATACCCCTTAAACTTCACATTTTGTCACATGACCAACGACTAACTGATGCGCTGCAGTGTTTTATTTGTCCCAGTCCACTGAGCTGGGATGTAAAGTCCCTCAGAGCGTTAGAGAAGAAACAAGGACGTCTGATTTCCTGTGGAGCGTCTCCAGACCACAGCATCTCCCAGACCTCCGTTCAGTCATCCGCCTCAACATGGTTATAGATCAACTGCAAACCTTCTCTGTCAAAGTTATGGAGGATCCTTGTTTCTCTGCAGCAGGGGCAGGACAGTCCGACCGGACGGAAAGATGGACTGATAACGGCTAATAGCAGCCATTCAATGGTTGATCCCAATCTGAAACGGGTTCTCCAGACGGTCTGTAGACTGACCTCTGCAGCATCAGCATCTACAGAAGGTCCTGTTCAGGGATGTTCTTCATCCAGACTGACTAAAGCAGAAACTCCTGAGGATGACTGAAGGAAGTGCATCTGTTATATAGGTGGAGGGGGGGGGGTCTCTATTTCTTCATAGAAACGTTTAAAATGTGTTTTTTTGGCGATAAACTGAGATCTGATGTTAAAATGCAGTAAAATGAAAAAGGTTGCAGGGAATGAAGCGCCTTTCAGCAGCAAAGCAGAGCGCGTTCTCAGACTCACCGTCTCTGGAGTCAGAAGCAGACTCAGGCTGGACGGGGGAGGGGTCACTCCAGGAGCGGCTGAAGCTCTGGGCTCGGCGGGCGACCAAGGCTGACGGGGTTAGGGGAGAGAGAGAGTTACCGATGAAGACTGAAAGGGTTTGAATACAAGAGAGAGTTACAGCTGAAAACAGGACTGACTTTAACTGGAGAATCATCTGACAGATGTTTTCTGCAGGGGGGGGTTATCATCTGATAGATGTTTTCTGCTGGGGGGGGGGTTTATCATCTAACAGATGTTTTCTGCTGGGGCGGGGGGGGGGGGGGGGTTTGGGGTTTATCATCTGATAGATGTTTTCTGCAGGGGGGGGGGGTTATCATCTAACAGATGTTTTCTGCTGGGGCGGGGGGGGGGGGGGTTTGGGGTTTATCATCTGATAGATGTTTTCTGCAGGGGGGGGGGTTATCATCTAACAGATGTTTTCTGCAGGGGGGGGTTATCATCTGATAGATGTTTTCTGCTGGGGGGGGGGTTTATCATCTAACAGATGTTTTCTGCTGGGGCGGGGGGGGGGGGGGGGGGGTTTGGGGTTTATCATCTGATAGATGTTTTCTGCAGGGGGGGGGGGGTTATCATCTAACAGATGTTTTCTGCTGGGGCGGGGGGGGGGGGGGGTTTGGGGTTTATCATCTGATAGATGTTTTCTGCAGGGGGGGGGGTTATCATCTAACAGATGTTTTCTGCTGGGGCGGGGGGGGGGTGGGGTTTGGGGTTTATCATCTAACAGATGTTTTCTGCTGGGGGGGGGTTATCATCTAACAGATGTTTTCTGCTGGGGGGGGGTTATCATCTAACAGATGTTTTCTACTGGGGCGGGGGGGGGGGGGGGGTTTGGGGTTTATCATCTGATAGATGTTTTCTGCAGGGGGGGGGGGTTATCATCTAACAGATGTTTTCTGCTGGGGCGGGGGGGGGGTGGGGTTTGGGGTTTATCATCTAACAGATGTTTTCTGCTGGGGGGGGGTTATCATCTAACAGATGTTTTCTGCTGGGGGGGGGTTATCATCTAACAGATGTTTTCTACTGGGGCGGGGGGGGGGGGGGGTTTGGGGTTTATCATCTAACAGATGTTTTCTGCAGGGGGGGGGGGGTTATCATCTAACAGATGTTTTCTGCTGGGGCGGGGGGGGGTGGGGTTTGGGGTTTATCATCTAACAGATGTTTTCTGCTGGGGGGGGGGTTATCATCTAACAGATGTTTTCTGCTGGGGGGGGGTTATCATCTAACAGATGTTTTCTACTGGGGCGGGGGGGGGGGGGGGGGTTTGGGGTTTATCATCTAACAGATGTTTTCTGCAGGGGGGGGGGTTATCATCTAACAGATGTTTTCTGCTGGGGGGGGGTTATCATCTAACAGATGTTTTCTACTGGGGCGGGGGGGGGGGTGGGGTTTGGGGTTTATCATCTAACAGATGTTTTCTGCAGGGGGGGGGGTTATCATCTAACAGATGTTTTCTACTGGGGCGGGGGGGGGGGGGGGGGTTTGGGGTTTATCATCTAACAGATGTTTTCTGCAGGGGGGGGGGGTTATCATCTAACAGATGTTTTCTGCTGGGGGGGGGTTATCATCTAACAGATGTTTTCTACTGGGGCGGGGGGGGGGGGGGGGTTTGGGGTTTATCATCTAACAGATGTTTTCTGCAGGGGGGGGGGGTTATCATCTAACAGATGTTTTCTGCTGGGGGGGGTTATCATCTAACAGATGTTTTCTGCTGGGGGGGGGTTATCATCTAACAGATGTTTTCTACTGGGGCGGGGGGGGGGGGGTTTGGGGTTTATCATCTAACAGATGTTTTCTGCAGGGGGGGGGGGTTATCATCTAACAGATGTTTTCTACTGGGGCGGGGGGGGGGGGGGTTTGGGGTTTATCATCTGATAGATGTTTTCTGCAGGGGGGGGGGGGTTATCATCTAACAGATGTTTTCTGCTGGGGCGGGGGGGGGGTGGGGTTTGGGGTTTATCATCTAACAGATGTTTTCTGCTGGGGGGGGGTTATCATCTAACAGATGTTTTCTGCTGGGGCGGGGGGGGGTGGGGTTTGGGGTTTATCATCTAACAGATGTTTTCTGCTGGGGGGGGGTTATCATCTAACAGATGTTTTCTGCTGGGGGGGGGTTATCATCTAACAGATGTTTTCTGCTGGGGCGGGGGGGGGTGGGGTTTGGGGTTTATCATCTAACAGATGTTTTCTGCTGGGGGGGGGTTATCATCTAACAGATGTTTTCTGCTGGGGCGGGGGGGGGGGGGGGTTTGGGGTTTATCATCTAACAGATGTTTTCTGCAGGGGGGGGGGTTATCATCTAACAGATGTTTTCTACTGGGGCGGGGGGGGGGGGGGGGTTTGGGGTTTATCATCTAACAGATGTTTTCTGCAGGGGGGGGGGGGTTATCATCTAACAGATGTTTTCTGCTGGGGGGGGGTTATCATCTAACAGATGTTTTCTACTGGGGCGGGGGGGGGGGTGGGGTTTGGGGTTTATCATCTAACAGATGTTTTCTGCTGGGGGGGGGTTATCATCTAACAGATGTTTTCTGCTGGGGGGGGGTTATCATCTAACAGATGTTTTCTGCTGGGGGGGGGGGGGGGGGGGTTTGGGGTTTATCATCTAACAGATGTTTTCTGCAGGGGGGGGGGGTTATCATCTAACAGATGTTTTCTACTGGGGCGGGGGGGGGGGGGTTTGGGGTTTATCATCTGATAGATGTTTTCTGCAGGGGGGGGGGGGTTATCATCTAACAGATGTTTTCTGCTGGGGCGGGGGGGGGTGGGGTTTGGGGTTTATCATCTAACAGATGTTTTCTGCTGGGGGGGGGTTATCATCTAACAGATGTTTTCTGCTGGGGCGGGGGGGGGTGGGGTTTGGGGTTTATCATCTAACAGATGTTTTCTGCAGGGGGGGGGGGTTATCATCTAACAGATGTTTTCTACTGGGGCGGGGGGGGGGGGGGTTTGGGGTTTATCATCTGATAGATGTTTTCTGCAGGGGGGGGGGGTTATCATCTAACAGATGTTTTCTGCTGGGGCGGGGGGGGGTGGGGTTTGGGGTTTATCATCTAACAGATGTTTTCTGCTGGGGGGGGGTTATCATCTAACAGATGTTTTCTGCTGGGGCGGGGGGGGGTGGGGTTTGGGGTTTATCATCTAACAGATGTTTTCTGCTGGGGGGGGGTTATCATCTAACAGATGTTTTCTGCTGGGGGGGGGTTATCATCTAACAGATGTTTTCTGCTGGGGCGGGGGGGGGTGGGGTTTGGGGTTTATCATCTAACAGATGTTTTCTGCTGGGGGGGGGTTATCATCTAACAGATGTTTTCTGCTGGGGCGGGGGGGGGGGGGGGGTTTGGGGTTTATCATCTAACAGATGTTTTCTGCAGGGGGGGGGGTTATCATCTAACAGATGTTTTCTACTGGGGCGGGGGGGGGGGGGGGGTTTGGGGTTTATCATCTAACAGATGTTTTCTGCAGGGGGGGGGGGTTATCATCTAACAGATGTTTTCTGCTGGGGGGGGGTTATCATCTAACAGATGTTTTCTACTGGGGCGGGGGGGGGGTGGGGTTTGGGGTTTATCATCTAACAGATGTTTTCTGCTGGGGGGGGGTTATCATCTAACAGATGTTTTCTGCTGGGGGGGGGTTATCATCTAACAGATGTTTTCTGCTGGGGGGGGGGGGGGGGGGGGGTTTGGGGTTTATCATCTAACAGATGTTTTCTGCAGGGGGGGGGGGTTATCATCTAACAGATGTTTTCTACTGGGGCGGGGGGGGGGGGGGTTTGGGGTTTATCATCTGATAGATGTTTTCTGCAGGGGGGGGGGGGTTACCCACAAAACGATGTTTTCTGCTGGGGCGGGGGGGGGGTGGGGTTTGGGGTTTATATTAAAAAGATTTTTTTCTGCTGGGGGGGGGTTATCATCAAAACAAAATGTTTTTTGCTGGGGGGGGGGGGGGGTGGGGGGGGGGGGTTTTATCATCCTAACAGATGTTTTTTTGTTGGGGGGGGGTTTTCATCAAACGATGTTTTTCTGCGGGGGGGGGGGGTTATCTTTTAAAAAACAGATGTTTTTATTTGGGGGGGGTTTATCATTGATAGTTTGTTTTCTACTGGGGCGGGGGGGGGGGGGGTTTGGGGTTTACCCATCAAACAGTGTTTTCTGCGGGGGGGGGGTTACATCAAACAGAGGGTTTTTGGGGGGGGGGGGTTTTCATCTAACAGAGGGTTTTAAAAAGGGGGGGGGGTTATCATTGTTTGTTGTTTTTTACGGGGGGGGGGGGGGGGGGGGGTTTGGGGGTTTTATAAATCTAACAGTTTTTTTTCTGTGGGGGGGGGTTATATCTAACAGATTTTTTTCTGCTGGGGGGGGTTTTTATATCTCTAGATGTTTTTATTTGGGGGGGGGGGGGGGGGGGGGTTTGGGGTTTATCTTTCAAAAGATGTTTTCTGGGGGGGGGGGGGGGGGTTTTGGGGGTTTATCATCTAACAGTTGTTTTTTTCTGGGGCGGGGGGGGGGGGGGGTTTTGGGGGGTTTATAATTTTTAACGATGTTTTCTGGGGGGGGGGGGTTTGGGGGTTTATCATCTAACAGATGTTTTTTTTTTTATGGGGGGGGGGGGGGTTTTTTTGGGGTTTTATCATTTTAACAGTGTTTTCTGCAGGGGGGGGGTTATCATTTGACAGTGCTGGGTGGGGGGGGGTCCTCCACCTATTTCAGTGTCAGTGATTTCATGTTTGTTTCACGTTTCTAGTTTAGGATGTTTGCTAATATTGTTGGGAAAAAATTTTGGGTAAAACCGCTATAAAGGGGAAATTTCAGGATGCCCATTGTTTTTTTTCCCGGGGGTGGGGGGGGGTTTCCTTCTAAATTATTTTTGTTTTTTGGTGTAAAAAAGGGCCTATTAAAAAAAATAAAAAAACCCAATATAAAAAAATAAAAATATACCCTTTTGGGGTTTTACTCTGATGCTTGATGGTGCCCCGATGTTGTTTGTCAACTCCAAACAATGCAGAAAAAGGGAAAAAGGGTTTCCATTTTTTTTCCCAAAAAAGGGACGTCATTTGGGAAATTTTTTAATTTTTTAATGGAAATTTTAATTTAAGTTTTTTCAAAAACTTTAAATTATTTTAGTTTTAGGTAATCTGGATTTTTTATTTTTTCTGTGTTTTTGGGGGAAAGGATGGGGGCCCTTTAAATTTTTTCAGGCGCTCGGGGCCCGCTCGCTGCGGGGAAATTCAAATTCAGGCTCTAAAACCTCAATCAAAAAAAACACATAAGGTGGGAAAAAAACCCTTATTAATCAGGACAATTTTTTTTAAGGCTTTGATGTCATATAAACCCTTTTGATGAAACAGTCTAGATAAGAAGCTTTAAATTATTCATAAACTAGTTTAGCTTAGAAATAATTCATATCTCAGTGAAATGGCTGAAAAATGCCTGTTATTAAAACGTATAATATACCAATTCCCCTCATAGAAGCACTCCCCCTTCATTATTGGGGTTCATGAAGAAAAGTAACCCCCAATGCTTTTCTATAAAAAATAACAGAGGGGTTTTAAACACTTAAACAAAAGAGAGGGAAACCACATAATGGTGTTCCCTAAAAGATGGATCGGGAATAAAAAAAATTAAAACCCCAAAACATAAAAAAGGTGAAAAAATGATTCTATGATCCTAAAGGCACCCCGTAGGGTTTCATGAGGCTGACGACCAAAGCTTGATCGTTAGGCGGGAAAACAATCCAAACTTTATTCTTATTAACAGGCTGAAGTCATGATTTGTGACGCAGAGAAACAAACGGAGCTTCAGCTTCGTCTGAACTTCAGTTTTAGACGTTTTGCTCAGAGATGAGATGAACCTTCAATGAAAGAGTTTTATTCACCTAAAGGTTTGTTACCATTAAAAAGACCAAATATTTGCTTTGAAATCACCTCTGATGTCGGGAATCATTTCATCTAAAGCAGTTTGGACAGAGGGAGGTGCTGCAGGTGCAGCAGGCGCTGCAGGTGCTGCAGGCGCTGCAGGTGCTGCAGGTGCAGCGAGGAGCGGCTGATGGACCTCCAACACATTTAGAAATATTAACCTCAGTTTCATCGTTTTTCAATCCTCCTGCTCACATTAAGGCGGGTGAGCTTTAGCTCTGCAGGATTCAACCTGTCACACTGCTAAGCTAGGCTAAGCTAAGCTAATAAAGCTACCAATATGGACTGATATGAAAGGCTTAAGCTTAAATCTGAAACAGTTCCTGTTTCTTTATTTGCTGCTGGTAGAAACGATGAAGGTCTATTCTACTCTAACCAGGGGCCCGTATCAGGTGGAATAGTAAGGAAGATCCGAAGGGCCCTTGATTGAGGTGGGGCCCCAAAGCAGAGGATGTGTCCCAATAGAATAAAATCAATAAAATAAATAATTTCCTGTTGTTCCTCATCTTTCAGCAGCAAACTGAGAAACGAAGCAGGAATAAATTCACCATCCAGGTTTTTTTATCCACCTGTTTGTAAAATAACCACTATGTTGTTTTCCTTTAGAAGTTCATTAAAGTGTACAGATAAACTGTTTGTTAATCCAGTTATTATTTCATTAATATTATTTTAAATCTCCGCTGGTTAAAACTGATGTTGGGCATTAAAATGCTGTTTTTTTTGGGGGGGTGTGCAAGGTGGCGCGACGGTTAGCACGCATGACCCACGTACGGAGGCCTTAGACCTCGACCTGGGTTCGAATGCGACCTGTGGTCCTTTGCTGCATGTCTCTCCTCCCTGTTTCCTGTCGGCCTACGGTCAGAAAAACAAGCCATTGGTGCCGTAAAAATAAAATCCAGTTTTTTTGGTGTGGAAAAAAATGGGTGAATAAAAAGGGGCGTCGGCACGCGGCAGAGCGGAGAGGAAGACGCACACCCAGATCTGTGCAGCGGGAGATTTGGTTAAAGAATAAAAGAAGAAAGAAAAGACAGCAGTCAAAGTCGGTCCCAGCATTTAGAAACCTGATGGCAGCCAGAGGACGCCCCCCAGGGGACAGACAGGGACGTAAACACTTCCTGGACTTCGATCTGACTTCGGAGGATATGGAACGCCTTATTACTAGAAATAAAAAGAATGGGCAGCTTTATTTTTTCAGTTATCAGGGATTGTTTTGATGATATAAATGTTGATATAGATTTTTGGTTATTGATCTGTTTATACCGAATTACAATTGATTTATTGAATTTTGTTTTGTTGTTTTTTTAATAAATAATTGTTGCTAAAAATGATCAAATTTCTTTCTAAGTGGTCGGATATTTTACCTTTTATATCAAATTCCTGTGACAGAATCCCGCTTTAAGTAGCTATATGGTGAGCTTTTAAGTTTATGTTAATGTCTATTTAACTTCATGTTCTAATATATAATATCTAACATATAGAATAATTTTCCTTTGTAGAAATTTCACAATAAAAATTACATTGAAAATGTAAGTGAGAAATGAAGTGTTATGGCTTGCATATATTTTTTTGTGGGGGGGGGGGGTTATTAATGTATTTCATGGGGAACCAAATTATTATTAATATTATTATTATTATTATTATCTTACAGACATTAAAACTCTGACTGCTGTTTCTAGAATAAAGCAAACGGTCCAATAAAATCCATGTTTTCATTTGTTTTTCTTTCAACCTAAAGTAGAAAGGTGTAACGAGTGTGAGAACTGCAGGCGTTCTGCCTCCAGCTCAGACTGCACGGTCGCTCCGTGCAGAAAGACTGGATGAAGCGTTTGGATGCGATTCTCTGCAGACAGATGCAAACCAAGCAGACCATCAGGCAGACGTTGGCTGACTCACTCTGGACCTTCACCCTGCGGCTGCCCACCATCCTCAGCTGTTTACGGAAGTTTCTACAAGTGAAACACAAGGAGAAAGGAGGAAGGTTACTAACGAGCAGTCGGTCATTAGTTAGCTGGGCGCTAGTTAGCGCTGCCTGTTAGCATGCTCATAGGTCACCAAGGATTAAAGACCAATGAAAACCTGAATGTTTGAACTAAATATGTCAGGACTCATGTCTTTGTGTTTGTCTCCCTTCATCCACCAGGAGGCGCCTGGTTCTGGTCCGCCTCCTCACACACCTGCTGATGGTTTCCTCGTTAACGGAGTGTTCCTAAGCTGCTGACTGCCACTACCTCGACGCCAGAGTGTTTGCCAGTTTAGGGCACTCTAGCCAAGCTGAGTTTTGCTGAGTCAAACTGAGTTTTTGTCAACCTGAGTTTAGCTTTGTTTTCTCTTTGCCTCTCAGCAGGAAGTCATCCTGCTAACTGGATCTCTAGGACCTTCTCTCCCTGGAAGGATCAACTGAGCTCCAAACTGAGCTGGGGTTCAAACAGGAGGTTTGGATCCACTTTCCCCAAGAGATCGTTTGAGCTTCTCACTGAGAAAGGGATTATTCTCCACAACGACCCGTTCAAGTACCGCAGGAAATCTGAGTGGCAATCAGTTTCTCCGTTCTTCAACTATCAACCGCATTCTGGGTAAACCCTGTTCCACCCTCCACTAAATCAGACCAACACTGGAACTACAGCACACAGACAGGAGTCAACGATACAACAACTTCTCTGGAAACGTGAAAATCCTCTTCTCCAAGTTTCTCAAGTCAAATTTCCCACTGAGCCTGAACTAACTGCTGTGTCTTCCCCTCACCTTGCAGTTCCAGTTGACAGAGCAACACTTCTCCCCTTGTTTTACTTCTTCAATAAAACCCGTTAAACCTTTCCCCTGGTCTCTCTGTTCGGTTTTCCGCATTTTTGGGTCAGAACTTTGTAACATCATGACAAAATATTCACTGAGCTCCCAGCAGACTTAAGAATGCTGAGAAAGAGGTGGTCTATATTTGCTTATGAAAAGCTAAACACGCCATCGTTATGTCCTGGAAGCTAAGGAAGCGCCGTCTGTAGACGTCTGGTCCAAAGCACGGTCTAACGCGCTGGCCACGGAAAAACTGACTCGCGCTCAAAAGGTGAAGCTACCGAGTTTCCACAAAGTTTGGGACAATTTACAGACTTCCAGCGAGATTTATAAGATGCTTAATCAGCTGGATATTTAACTTCTAACTCCTATTCTAAGAGGGTTTTCTTTCCTTTCTCTCCCTTTTTCTTTCTTTTTTTCAATGTTGTTTTGTTTCTGTTTTGTTTTATTTTAGTATTTTCCTTCTATGTTGCTAAACACATTTAATAAATAAAATTCTAAAAAAATAAATAAAAAATATTACCTGAGAAGCAAAAGGCTGATTTCCATAGAAAGATAAAGTTTATTTATAGTCTGGATTCAGCGTCTCTGAGCTGGAATCCTCCTCAGACTGATTCATCTGCTCTCACTCTTCAGTTAAAACTGCTCAGCAGGTCTATAGAACTATTTTCACTAGATTGCAAGACGCCCTTCATCCCAGGTATGGTTGGTCTTAGTGACTGAACCACCAGGGGGCAACTGATGAACGACTTTGTTTAAATTAGAATCTGGACCTGAGCAGGACGCAGACCGACGTGTTACAGACTGACTTCGGCCGTAAAACAGACGTCAACATGGGAAAAAAGGAGACTGGGCTTAAAGTTAAACTGAAATACCAAATCTAGGCTGCAGGAACCGTCGGGACGGCTGCCGGACTTTAACAGTCTTCTATTGCTGCTTTTATCGAAGTTTTCTATTCCGTGAAAATTTGCAACAAATACGTTTGAAATTCAGCTTTTTATAAATAAACAACTAAAGTCGTGTTTTTTCCTTTGCTGTATGACTCAGTTAATAAAAGTAGAATACTGTTAATCTATATAAAGACTACTTTTACCACTAGAGACTACTGGTAACTATTATAGACTGCTGGTAACTATTATAGACTACTGGTAACTATTATAGACTACTGCTAACCACTATAGACTACTGGTAACTATTATAGACTACTGGTAACCATTATAGACTACTATTAATCTTTAAAGAGTACTGTTAATGTATATAAAGATTGTTATTAACTAGTGAGGTTTCCACTTCATAAAGTTGTAGCCCTAGACCACCACAGACTAGCCATCTTCTAACGATACTGAAATGCCGTCTTTCGTGGAAAATTAACCCATTAAGCTTTCCTGAGGCAAAGAACATCTGGGCAGCAGATGCACGGCGTTATGATACTGATAATGGATCTGGAAAATGGACGACTGGTTATCCAGGACCAGAACTTAGCGAAACAGTTTCTGCAACTTCTGACGAGATAAATAGCAAAGCACCACGAGAGAAGCTGATTGGACCTCACGAAAGAAGCTGATTGGACGCTACGAAAGAAGCTGATTGGACACCATGACAGAAGCTGATTGGACGCTACGAAAGAAGCTGATTGGACACCATGACAGAAGCTGATTGGACCTCACGAAAGAAGCTGATTGGACACCATGACAGAAGCTGATTGGACACCATGACAGAAGCTGATTGGACCTCACGAAAGAAGCTGATTGGACACCATGACAGAAGCTGATTGGACGCTACGAAAGAAGCTGATTGGACACCATGACAGAAGCTGATTGGACCTCACGAAAGAAGCTGATTGGACACCATGACAGAAGCTGATTGGACACCATGACAGAAGCTGATTGGACCTCACGAAAGAAGCTGATTGGACGCCAAGAAGGAAACTGATTGGACACCACGAAAGAAGCTGATTGGACGCCACGAAAGAAGCTGATTGGATGCCACGAAGGACGCTGATTGGATGCCACGAAGGACGCTGATTGGACGCCACGAAGGAAGCTGATTGGATGCCAAGAAGGAAACTGATTGGACACCATGACAGAAGCTGATTGGACGCCACGAAGAAAGCTGATTGGATGCCACGAAGGACGCTGATTGGACGCCACGAAGGAAGCTGATTGGATGCCAAGAAGGAAACTGATTGGACACCACGAAAGAAGCTGATTGGACGCTACGAAAGAAGCTGATTGGACGCCACAAAAGAAGCTGATTGGACGCCATGAGGGACGTTGATTGGACGCCACGAAGGAATCTGATTGGATGCCAAGAAGGAAACTGATTGGACACCACGAAAGAAGCTGAGTGGACGCCACAAAAGAAGCTGATTGGACGCCATGAAGGACGTTGATTGGACGCCACGAAGGAATCTGATTGGATGCCAAGAAGGAAACTGATTGGACGCCACGAAGGAAGCTGATTGGACTTCACGAAAGAAGCTGATTGGACACCATGACAGAAGCTGATTGGACGTCAGAAGGATGTTAGGGTCAGTAGGGGGCGATCACCTGTCATCTAAACAAAGGTTTCATTTGTATATTCACATCCTGTTGGTAAAGTTGGAGACTGTGGCTGTTTGTCAGATTTCAGGAATCCACAGTTTGGTTTATTTCCTGTCGAGGAGTTTAAAGCCTGCATGTGCAAAGAAATAAAAAAACTACAAATTAGAAATATTAGTGTTTTACTGAGTTATTCATGTCTCTACTAACTAGTTTTATTGGGACGGGTGATTAGAATAAAGGTTTGTCTCTAATGATAAAACATGAGAAGCTCTACGGCCAAAGAGGGGATGTCAGATCAGACCGCGGGGGTCGTGGAGGCAGATCCTAAAATAGAGGATGACTCAGAGGGGAGGGCATCCATCAGTCTGCTGCTGCTGAGGGACATCAATGCAGACCTTCAAACGATTCCTTCCATCATTTCTAAATCTGAAGCCACATAAATAGTTTCTATCTGACTGTTGCCAGGGGGATGAATCCTGACGGACAGCTGACTCCCATCAGTCACCATAAAGAAGCAAACTGTTTCAGGACTATATGCGAAGTTCCAGCCAAGATTGGTCCATCAGAGTCCCAGCCGCCCCGCCATGTTCTGCCAGGAAGCTCCAACACTTCTGGTCAGACAGGGATTCAAGCTGACCTGGAAACCGGAACCTATGAACCCTGTTCTACAGCTTTAGTTTGGAAAGTTCAGCTCTTCTTTGGGGACATTTCATCAGATTCAGTTAGCTGAAGCCTTTTCACACCACTATGTTCCTCTTTTGATGTTATTAACCAATCAAATGCTGACACTAAGTAAACAGTTCATGGATTGGTTTTAAAGACAAGAACAACATGGAAACAGGAGTGTCTGCTCATCCAATGGTCGCCATCAGGGGGCAGCACAGAGGTGAAAGCAGCCCAGCTATAGAGGTCATGCTAATGAGATAGCATCAGAAAACAGGAAGGATTTTAATACGAATGAAGAGGACCTTCAGGATGCTGACAGGAAACATGGGAGCTGGCTCGGAGCTCGTCTGCCTGGCTGTGTGTTTCCTGGACGGGGCCGCCTGTGGAGCTGGTTGACAGTTGCCTTTTGTATCTATGCTTCTTTTTCTATGTCTGCTTCTGTCTCCTTGAACCCCAGTGGGCCTCAGCAGATGGCCGCTCACACTGAGCCTGGTTCTGCTGGAGGTTTCTTCCTGTTCAAAGGGAGTTTTTCCTCTCCACTGTCGCTACAAGCATGCTTAGTGTGAGGGATTGCTGAAGAGTCAATGAGTCGATGCAATCAGCTGGTTTTCCTCAGATAGAAAACTTCGAATCAATCTGACTGGATGATCTGGCACTGTGGAAAACTCCCTTGGCAACCATGGTGGAGGAGCAGCATCGCCCTCTAGTGGGAGGTTAGTGAAAAGGGAACGTCTGCCGTCATCTTCTGATCTAGAGCAGAAATATCTCCTTTAGGAAATGACTGTCACTCCTGGATGACATGAAGAGGCCTTTAAAATGATGTAAGCAGCTGTGTTTTTAAATATTATGTGGTCTTGCGGTCTATGCACTACATCGCCCCCTAGGGTTGGCCAGAATATCCTGCAGGGAAAATCTAGACAGTTTAAAATGCCGCTAACAGTGTGTGGACCGTCGCTCTGCTCGGCTCACCGCTGTGTTGAAGGTGGACGCGTTAGAAACCATCTTTAAGCAACTTGGTCAAATTTCCTCATCATTTTTCATAAATGGAAGGAATGAAGATCGTTTGACTCAAAGTGTGAATAAATGACTCGTTAAATGTTCAGAAATCAATCAGCTCATTTCCTCATTAGCTACAAACGTTCCTCGTTTTGATTCTAAGGATTCATGAAAACAGTGAGTTCATAGAAACACCGTAGTGGTGACAGTGGCGTCGGGTGTTTGCCCTGAAGTCGAAGGATTGATGGTTCAACCCCGGCTCTGGCTTTCAGTGTCGTTGTGTCGTTAGGCAAGACACCTGCATTGTCTGGTCAGCGTTATATAAGTACGTCCCATTTACCATAGAACAGGATTATCTCCACCTTTGCTTCTCCTTTCAATCTATCATCTTTTCCCTGCAGAAATAAATCCAGTTTCTCCAGATCTGACCCAGACTTTGAACTTTCCCTGCTGACATCTGCATTTCTACGTCACGAGGTCTGGACTAGGAGTCTGATTTAATGCTGGGTCAGTTCAGCGGCCATCTTGTCCTTGGACAGACATGGTGAAGATTGATTGTAACAGAGAGGAACTTTCACAGCTACGTTCAGCACCAGACAGCACAGCACAGCCAGAACACAGTACCTCTCCATCATGGCGGCTGTCTCCTGCTCTCTTTTGCGCCTCTTTCGCTCAGCAATGCCACGGAAAGCCCTGCCAGGACGTCAAAGGGTTTTCAGTGGGTTTGTTGGGAAATCAGGTTGGATGTTTTTCTGCTTTCTAGCTGCTAGCTTCTGCCTGAACCCAAACTGACCCAGGTTAGACAGGTAGGATCTAGAACATGTCATTGGTTGGTCACACTGAGAAGCTTCTGATGGAAAAAGTCCAGCTGGGTTCAGCCATGGAGCGCTATCAGGATAAAATGAGGAATTTAGCTGGAGAAGCTCTGAGTCAATGAGGGTTCGGTTAACTTTCTGATTAACAGACACTCTGCTGAACAAACCAACCACAAACACGCAGCACAAAGCAGAGCGGTGAACATGGAGGAGGAGAGGTAACAGGACAGCATACGGTATGCTGGTCTGACAGAACATCCTGAACATCGACTCTGAGGGCCGCTCAGATCCAGCCTGAATGAAGCACTGGGCTGAACTATCATTGCTCTGCAGATTTAACCTGCATTATTTCCCATGAGTGGATGAATGATGGGTGGATGAATGATGGGTGGATGAATGATGGGTGGATGAATGATGGGTGGGAGAGTGAATGAATGATGAGTGGATGAGTGGATGAATGATGAGTGGATGAATGAGTGGATGAATGATGAGTGGATGAGTGGATTAATGATGAGTGGATGAATAATGAGTGGATGAATGATGAGTGGATGAATGATGAATGGATGAGTGGATGAATGATGAGTGGATGAATGAGTGGATGAATGATGAGTGGATGAATGATGGGTGGATGAATGATGGGTGGGAGAGTGAATGAATGATGAGTGGATGAGTGGATGAATGATGAGTGGATGAATGATGGGTGGATGAATGATGGGTGGGAGAGTGAATGAATGATGAGTGGATGAATGATGAGTGGATGAATGAGTGGATGAATGATGAGTGGATGAATGAGTGGATGAATGATGAGTGGATGAGTGGATTAATGATGAGTGGATGAATAATGAGTGGATGAATGATGAGTGGATGAATGATGAATGGATGAGTGGATGAATGATGAGTGGATGAATGAGTGGATGAATGATGAGTGGATGAATGATGGGCGGATAAATAATGGGTGGATGAATGATGAGGGGACGAATGATGAGTGGATGAATGATGAGTGGATGAGTGGATGAATGGTTGGCGGATGAATGATGGGCGGATGAGTGGATGAACTATGAGTGGATGAACTATGAGTGGATGAACGATGGGTGGATGAACGATCAGTAGATGAATGATGAGTGGATGAATGATGAGTGGATGAATGATGGGCGGATGAATAATGAGTGGATGAATGATGAGTGGATGAGTGGATTAATGATGAGTGGATGAATAATGAGTGGATGAATGATGAATGGATGAGTGGATGAATGATGAGTGGATGAATGAGTGGATGAATGATGAGTGGATGAATGATGAGTGGATGAACTATGAGTGGATGAACTATGAGTGGATGAACTATGAGTGGATGAACGATGGGTGGATGAATGATCAGTAGATGAATGATGAGTGGATGAATGATGAGTGGATGAATGATGAGTGGATGAATGATGAATGGATGAGTGGATGAATGATGAGGGGACGAATGATGGGCGGATGAATAATGGGTGGATGAATGATGAGGGGACGAATGATGGGTGGATGAATGATGGGCGGATGAATGATGAGTGAATGAATGATGAGTGGATGAATGATGAATGGATGAGTGGATGAATGATGAGTGGATAAATGATGGGCGAATGAGTGGATGAATGATGAGTGGATGAACTATGAGTGGATGAACTATGAGTGGATGAACGATGGGTGGATGAACGATGAGTAGATGAATGATGAGTGGATGAATGATGAGTGGATGAAAGATGAGTAGATGAATGATGAGTGGATGAATGATGAGTGGATGAATGATGCGTGGATGAACGATGGGTGGATGAAAGATGAGTAGATGAATGATGAGTGGATGAATGATGAGTGGATGAATGATGCGTGGATGAGTGGATGAATGGTTGGCGGATGAATGATGGGCGGATGAGTGGATGAATGATGAGTGGATGAACTATGAGTGGATGAGCTATGAGTGGATGAACGATGGGTGGATGAACGATCAGTAGATGAATGATGAGTGGATGAATGATGAGTGGATGAATGATGAGTGGATGAATGATGAATGGATGAGTGGATGAATGATGAGTGGATAAATGATGGGCGAATGAGTGGATGAACTATGAGTGGATGACCGATGGGTGGATGAACGATGAGTAGATGAATGATGAGTGGATGAATGATGGGTGGATGAACGATGAGTAGATGAATGATGAGTGGATGAATGATGAGTAGATGAATGATGAGTGGATGAATGGTTGGCGGATGAATGATGGGCGGATGAGTGGATGAATGATGAGTGGATGAACTATGAGTGGATGAACTATGAGTGGATGAACGATGGGTGGATGAACGATCAGTAGATGAATGATGAGTGGATGAATGATGAGTGGATGAGGGAATGAATGATGAGTGGATGAATGAGTGGATGAATAATGAGTGGATGAATGATGAGTGGATGAGAGAATGAATAATGAGTGGATGAATGATGAGTGGATGAATGATAAGTGGATGAGGGAATGAATAATGAGTGGATGAATGATGAGTGGATGAATGATGAGTGGATGAATGATGAGTGGATGAGGGAATGAATAATGAGTGGATGAATGATGAGTGGATGAGGGAATGAATAATGAGTGGATGAATGATGAGTGGATGAATGAGTGGATGAATGATGAGTGGATGAGGTAATGAATAATAAGTGGATGAATGATGAGTGGATGAATGATGAGTGAATGAATGATGAGTGGATGAATGATGGGTGGATGAATAATGAGTGGATGAATGATGAATGGATGAGTGGATGAATGATGAGTGGATAAATGATGAGTGGATGAGTGGATGAATGATGGGCGGATGAATGATGGGCGGATGAGTGGATGAATGATGAGTGGATGAATAATGAGTGGATGAATGATGAGTGGATGAATGATGAATGGATGAGTGGATGAATGATGAGTGGATGAATGATGGGCGGATGAGTGGATGAATGATGAGTGAATGAATAATGAGTGGATGAATGATGAGTGGAGGAATGATGAATGGATGAGTGGATGAATGATGAGTGGATGAATGATGGGCGGATGAATGATGAGTGGATGAATGATGGGCGGATGAATAATGGGTGGATGAATGATGAGGGGATGAATGATGAATGGATGAGTGGATGAATGATGAGTGGATAAATGATGGGCGAATGAGTGGATGAACTATGAGTGGATGACCGATGGGTGGATGAACGATGAGTAGATGAATGATGAGTGGATGAATGATGGGTGGATGAACGATGAGTAGATGAATGATGAGTGGACGAATGATGAGTAGATGAATGACGAGTGGATGAATGGTTGGCGGATGAATGATGGGCGGATGAGTGGATGAATGATGAGTGGATGAACTATGAGTGGATGAACTATGAGTGGATGAACGATGGGTGGATGAACGATCAGTAGATGAATGATGAGTGGATGAATGATGAGTGGATGAGGGAATGAATGATGAGTGGATGAATGAGTGGATGAATAATGAGTGGATGAATGATGAGTGGATGAGGGAATGAATAATGAGTGGATGAATGATGAGTGGATGAATGATGAGTGGATGAGGGAATGAATAATGAGTTGATGAATGATGAGTGGATGAATGATGAGTGGATGAGGGAATGAATAATGAGTGGATGAATGATGAGTGGATGAGGGAATGAATAATGAGTGGATGAATGATGAGTGGATGAATGAGTGGATGAATGATGAGTGGATGAGGGAATGAATAATAAGTGGATGAATGATGAGTGGATGAATGATGAGTAAATGAATGATGAGTGGATGAATGATGGGTGGATGAATAATGAGTGGATGAATGAAGAATGGATGAGTGGATGAATGATGAGTGGATAAATGATGAGTGGATGAGTGGATGAATGATGGGCGGATGAATGATGGGTGGATGAGTGGATGAATGATGAGTGGATGAATAATGAGTGGATGAATGATGAGTGGATGAATGATGAATGGATGAGTGGATGAATGATGAGTGGATGAATGATGGGCGGATGAGTGGATGAATGATGAGTGGATGAATAATGAGTGGATGAATGATGAGTGGAGGAATGATGAATGGATGAGTGGATGAATGATGAGTGGATGAATGATGAGTGGATGAATGATGGGCGGATGAATGATGAGTGGATGAATGATGGGCGGATGAATAATGGGTGGATGAATGATGAGGGGACGAATGATGGGTGGATGAATGATGAGCGGATGAATGATGAGTGAATGAATGATGAGTGGATGAATGGATGAATGATGGATGGATGAATAATGAGTGGATGAATGATGAATGGATGAGTGGATGAATGATGAGTGGATAAATGATGAGTGGATGAGTGGATGAATGATGGGCGGATGAATGATGGGCGGATGAGTGGATGAATGATGAGTGGATGAATGATGAGTGGATGAGGGAATGAATAATGAGTGGATGAATGATGAGTGGATGAATGATGAGTGGAGGAGTGGATGAATGATGAGTGGATGAATGAGTGGATGAATGATGAGTGGATGAATGATGGGCAGATGAATGATGAGTGGATGAATGATGAGTGGATGAATGATGGGCGGATGAATAATGGGTGGATGAATGATGAGGGGAGGAATGATGGGTGGATGAATGATGAGCGGATGAATGATGAGTGAATGAATGATGAGTGGATGAATGGATGAATGATGGGTGGATGAATAATGAGTGGATGAATGATGAATGGATGAGTGGATGAATGATGAGTGGATAAATGATGAGTGGATGAGTGAATGAATGATGGGCGGATGAATGATGGGCGGATGAGTGGATGAATGATGAGTGGATGAATGATGAGTGGATGAGGGAATGAATAATGAGTGGATGAATGATGAGTGGATGAATGATGAGTGGAGGAGTGGAAAAATGATGAGTGGATGAATGAGTGGATGAATGATGAGTGGATGAATGATGGGCAGATGAATGATGAGTGGATGAATGATGGGCGGATGAATAATGGGTGGATGAATGATGAGGGGACGAATGATGGGTGGATGAATGATGAGCGGATGAATGATGAGTGAATGAATGATGAGTGGATGAATGATGGGTGGATGAATAATGAGTGGATGAATGATGAATGGATGAGTGGATGAATGATGAGTGGATAAATGATGAGTGGATGAGTGGATGAATGATGGGCGGATGAATGATGGGCGGATGAGTGGATGAATGATGAGTGGATGAATGATGAATGGATGAGTGGATGAATGATGAGTGGATGAATGATGGGCGGATGAATGATGAGTGGATGAATGATGAGTGAATGAATGATGAGTGGATGAATGGATGAATGATGGGTGGATGAATAATGAGTGGATGAATGATGAATGGATGAGTGGATGAATGGATGGGCGGATGAATGATGAGTGGATGAATGATGAGTGAATGAATGATGAGTGGATGAATGGATGAATGATGGGTGGATGAATGATGAGTGGATAAATGATGAGTGGATGAGTGGATGAATGATGGGCGGATGAGTGGATGAATGATGAGTGGATGAATGAGTGGATGAATGATGGGCGGATGAATGATGGGTGGATGAATGATGAGTGGATGAATGATGGGCGGATGAATGATGGGTGGATGAATGATGGGCGAATGAGTGGATGAATGGTAAGTGGATGAATAATGAGTGAATGAATAATGAGTGGATGAATGATGGGTGGATGAATGATGGGTGGATGAATGATGGGCGGATGAATGATGGGCGGATGAGTGGATGAATGATGAGTGGATGAATGATGAGTGGATGAATGATGAGTGGATGAACTATGAGTGGATGAACTATGAGTAGATGAATGATGAGTGGATGAATGAGTGGATGAACTATGAGTGGATGAACTATGAGTGGATGAACGATGGGTGGATGAACAATGAGTAGATGAATGATGGGCGGATGAATGATGAGTGGATGAATGATGAGTGGATGAATGATGAGTGGATGAATGAGTGGATGAACTATGAGTGGATGAACTATGAGTGGATGAACGATGGGTGGATGAACGATGAGTAGATGAATGATGGGCGGATGAATGATGAGTGGATGAATGATGATTGGATGAATGATGATTGGATGAATGAGTGGATGAACTATGAGTGGATGAACTATGAGTGGATGAACGATGGGTGGATGAACGATGAGTAGATGAATGATGGGCGGATGAATGATGAGTGGATGAATGATGAGTGGATGAATCATGAGTGGATGAATGATGAGTGGATGAATGATGCTGGGTGTGTCTCTCCTCAGGAAGTCCATAGCGGCTCTGACATGTCAGACAGAATGAGAATGATCTGACAGCCAGGAAGAGGCGGCGTCCTGTAGGCCTGGTTACACTGACTGTTGATGAGTCCAGTCCCTCAGCGCTGTACGCCCCTCATCATCTCACCCATCATCTCCCACATTCCTCCCCCATAGACTCATGAAAGCGTAGAAATGTTAGCGTGTGATCTTTTATTGTTTCAATGTGTTCATTTCATCATTTCATTCTTTTTAAAGCTTAGCTGGTTGCTAGGCTACAGAATGGAGGCCTGCTGGTAGCTAGCATTAACTGCAACCTTATATGGAGAATGTAGGAAGAAATAACCGAGGAAAACTTCAGTCTAACCGGCAGAATCTATGAGCCAGAAGAAATAATTATGTTGGTTTAGTGTTTTAAAAGGATTCTGTATCAGAAAGACCATTTTTGTTCAATAAAATACAATAATTATGAAAATATTAAGGAGCGATTACTAAAAGAAACAAAAAAATGTATGTATGTATATATATATATATATATATATATATATATATATATATATATATATATTGTTTCAGTGGAATATTTCCATCTAAAAGGTTTTCTTTCCATTAATATGAGAGGGAAAAAAAATCATCCTAGTAGAAATGAAATCTTTACTAAATCAATGAATGCTTAATGAATCTATGTATTGATTTTAAATCTGGGTGCAGTAAAAATGAAATAAAAGATCTTTAAAAGAAGTTGAATTTATTGAATGGGGAGCTTTTTTCACCAGCTGCAGCCTTCTGCGCCTCCCTCTGATCGAGCCAACATGGCTTACAGGATCTCGCTGTAAGGCCGAGTTATGGGAACGTCGGAGCGCAGAGGAACTCCTTCCTTTGTGAAGCTAGCAGGGTTTTTCAGAGGAATGAATCCGTGTTTTCAGCCAGGTTCTCCCCTGCAGAGAGTCCAGGGAATGAGGCGGCTCTAAAGGGAATCAGCGAGAGGATGAAGGATGAGCTCTCCCCCCAGGATTATCCTGACTCTCTGAGGGAGGAGTTAGCTCAGGACTGACCTTGGCCTTCAGGAGCAACGCAGGGAGCGGGTTCCTGCTGCTCCCTGCCTATAGAGGCTCAGAGGACGACGTCGGAACTCCTTCCTTAATCTGGTCCTGAAGCGATGCAGCTGGAACGTCTCTCCCAGGAGGAGAAGGATCGTCGTTTCAGGCATCAGCTCGTTTCTCCTGCGGTGGAGAGGGACGTCGCTAGAATAGTGTGCTATCACTCTGGTTGACATTGAAAAGGAGGTCAGGCAGGTCCTCCTCGGTCAACCTTCTCCTAGTGACTGTCCCAGTGATGGTCTGTTTGTTCCAGGTGCTCTGAGAGGGAAGGTCTTAGAGTTTTGTCATGGTCCTGGTGTTACTACGACCTTTAATGTTGTTCAGACTCAGTTTCGGTGGCCTTTCTGTCTGCAGATGTGCTGGAATCTGAGACGTCCAAAAGACCTCCTCCTGGCTCTCTGCAGCCTCTACCCACCCCGCCGCGGCCATGGTCTCACATTTCCAGGTTACCACAACGTTCTAACAATCATTGACAGCTGTTCCAAAATAATTCATTTGGTTCCTCTGCCCAAACTCCCTCTGCTAAAGAAATGGGGGAGGTCCTCATCCGCGGGATTTTCAGCTCCATGGTCTGTCATTGTTTCAGACAGGGGTCCCCAGTTTGGATCTGGAGGGTCTGCTCTTTGTTAGGGGTCTCTGTCAGTCTGTCAACAGACGGTCAGACAGAGAAGGCAAACCAGGACATCTGCATCCTCTGTGAGGCTGACACCACTGAGCGGGCCCTGGGTGGAGCACCTGTAAACTCCAGCACCACTTGGGCACACCTTAATGTGTCTTATGCAAATAAAAACCTGAATTTCCCGTCTTTTATCTATTTTAGTTCTCCGTAAGAGTCTGACTAGCCTTTAGCTTAAGCCTCCTTCTCACAGACTGTTGAAAATACAAACTATGCTGTAAAGCTGAAATAAATCGTTAATAAAAGAAATTGTCAAGAAAATTAAGATTTTTCATTTCAAAATATTCTGACAGTAAATGAGTGTGAGAGATTTTTAGTATCGTCTAAACTTTTCCATCAGTTGGTGGGATGGAGCATCTGCTCCCGCCGCGCTGGTTTAGCATGAGCTAACAGTTTAGCATGAGCTAACGGTTTAGCATGAGCTAACGGTTTAGCATGAGCTAACGGTTTTAGACTCCAGGCCCGACAGCAGCTGAAATGGCGCTCCATAGGCAGGTCCTTTTTCCGTAGCATTCAGTGATCCGTGCTTCGCTGCAGCTGATTATTAAATCCTGATCCTGATCACACTAAAGGCTGCGGGCTTTAGGGACATGCAGACTACAGAACAAAGCCACAGCAGCAACAGGATTCCAGACATGAAATCTAATTCAGTTAGAGAAAAAAGGCAAAGCAGGGAGAAAAACCAAGAGCGGAGGCGTTTGAAAGGTTTACTCACGATATGCTGCAGTGGAGGTTTGGAGGGCCGCCAGGAAGCAGAAGGAGACAGAGAAGAAGAAAAGGTGAAGGAGAAGTTAGCAGCAGGGTCACCGTAAATACTCTACAGCTCTATTATTAGAATATCTGCACCCGGACGTAGACTGGAAGAAGTTAGAAGCAGCAGGAACATATCAGAGCTGCTCATTGCCAACATTTAATGGGTGAGGATCAATAACTCTGCAACACAGCCGTCATGGAGGCCATATCAGCGCCGTGCATCACGCCGATGGAGGCATCACGCCGATGGAGGCATCACGCCGATGGAGGCATGACGCCGATGGAGGCATGACGCCGATGGAGGCATCACGCCGATGGAGGCATCACGCCGATGGAGGCATGACGCCGATGGAGGCATCACGCCAATGGAGGCATGACGCTGATGGAGGCATGACGCCGATGGAGGCATCACGCCGATGGAGGCATGACGCCGATGGAGGCATCACGCCGATGGAGGCATCACGCTGATGGAGGCATCACGCCGATGGAGGCATCACGCCGATGGAGGCATGACGCCGATGGAGGCATGACGCCGATGGTGGCATCACGCCGATGGAGGCATCACGCCGATGGAGGCATGACGCCGATGGAGGCATCACGCCAATGGAGGCATGACGCTGATGGAGGCATGACGCCGATGGAGGCATCACGCCGATGGAGGCATCACGCTGATGGAGGCATGACGCCGATGGAGGCATGACGCCGATGGAGGCATCACGCCGATGGAGGCATCACGCCGATGGAGGCATGACGCCGATGGAGGCATCACGCCAATGGAGGCATGACGCTGATGGAGGCATCACGCTGATGGAGGCATCACGCCAATGGAGGCATGACGCTGATGGAGGCATCACGCCGATGGAGGCATCACGCCGATGGAGGCATGACGCCAATGGAGGCATCACGCCGATGGAGGCATCACGCCGATGGAGGCATCACGCCGATGGAGGCATCACGCTGATGGAGGCATGACGCCGATGGAGGCATCACGCCGATGGAGGCATCACGCCGATGGAGGCATCACGCTGATGGAGGCATGACGCCGATGGAGGCATGACGCCGGTGGAGGCATCACGCCGATGGAGGCATCACGCCGATGGAGGCATGACGCCGATGGAGGCATCACGCCAATGGAGGCATGACGCTGATGGAGGCATGACGCCGATGGAGGCATCACGCCGATGGAGGCATGACGCCGATGGAGGCATCACGCCGATGGAGGCATCACGCTGATGGAGGCATGACGCCGATGGAGGCATCACGCCGATGGAGGCATCACGCCGATGGAGGCATGACGCCGATGGAGGCATGACGCCGATGGTGGCATCACGCCGATGGAGGCATCACGCCGATGGAGGCATGACGCCGATGGAGGCATCACGCATATGGAGGCATGACGCTGATGGAGGCATGACGCCAATGGAGGCATCACGCCGATGGAGGCATCACGCTGATGGAGGCATGACGCCGATGGAGGCATGACGCCGATGGAGGCATCACGCCGATGGAGGCATCACGCCGATGGAGGCATGACGCCGATGGAGGCATCACGCCAATGGAGGCATGACGCTGATGGAGGCATTACGCCGATGGAGGCATGACGCTGATGGAGGCATTACGCCAATGGAGGCATGACGCTGATGGAGGCATTACGCCAATGGAGGCATGACGCTGATGGAGGCATTACGCCGATGGAGGCATGATGCTGATGGAGGCATCACGCCAATGGAGGCATGACGCTGATGGAGGCATTACGCCGATGGAGGCATCACGCCGATGGAGGCATCACGCCAATGGAGGCATGACGCTGATGGAGGCATCACGCCGATGGAGGCATCACGCCGATGGAGGCATCACGCCAATGGAGGCATGACGCTGATGGAGGCATCACGCTGATGGAGGCATGACGCTGATGGAGGCATCATGCTGATGGAGGCATCACGCCGAAGGAGGCATCACGCCAATGGAGGCATGACGCTGATGGAGGCATCACGCTGATGGAGGCATGACGCTGATGGAGGCATGACGCTGATGGAGGCATGACGCTGATGGAGGCATCACGCCAATGGAGGCATGACGCTGATGGAGGCATCACGCTGATGGAGGCATGACGCTGATGGAGGCATCATGCTGATGGAGGCATCACGCCGATGGAGGCATCACGCCAAAGGAGGCATGACGCTGATGGAGGCATCACGCTGATGGAGGCATGACGCTGATGGAGGCATGACGCTGATGGAGGCATGACGCTGATGGAGGCATCACGCTGATGGAGGCATCACGCTGATGGAGGCATGACGCCGATGGAGGCATCACGCTGATGGAGGCATCACGCTGATGGAGGCATCACGCTGATGGAGGCATGACGCCGATGGAGGCATCACGCTGATGGAGGCATCACGCTGATGGAGGCATCACGCTGATGGAGGCATGACGCCGATGGAGGGATCACGCTGATGGAGGCATGACGCCGATGGAGGCATCACGCTGATGGAGGCATCACGCTGATGGAGGCATCACGCCAATGGAGGCATCACGCCAATGGAGGCATGACGCTGATGGAGGCATCACGCTGATGGAGGCGGACAGAGAGGAAGATCAGCTCCGTCAGGCTGAGAGGCCAGAATCATCAGATTTTAGGGGAAAACCTGAAGCCTGGATGTGGATCAGATTCCCATGGATGGATGGGATCTAGTTTTCCTAGATGTCACAGACCGGCTCATTGCTTTGGACACTTTAATAAAAGAAGCATCCACAGTGGCTGAGTTTAACCCTTTCCTTTTTGGTGTTGGATTATTGGTAATTAAAGACCTCCAGTCCTGTTAATCAGTTCTTACAATACAGCCTGGTTCTGAATTCGGACACTTCCTGAAACAAAACGGCCCAAAGATCCAAACCTGAACATCTGGTCCTTGATTTAAAGGATCACTGGTTCAGTAGCAGCCATTCAAAATGGCTGCTACCAGCCAAACGCCAACGCCATGACATCCAGCTTCCAGCCGCTGCAGGGACTGACTCCACCTTCCACTGAATTACAGGGTCTGACCAGGAGATGGCGCTACTCTTTACATCGTAATGTCCACAAATCATGACAGAAAATTTTAGTACAAAGTTTGATTTTAAAAAGGAATTATAGGGGACCATCCAAGGACCCTCCAAGGACCAGCCAAGGACCAGGCAAGGATCGTCCAAGGACCAGCCAAGGACCAGCCAAGGACCAACCAAGGATCGTCCAAGGACCAGCCAAGGACCAACCAAGGATCGTCCAAGGACCAGCCAAGGACCAGCCAAGGACCCTCCAAGGACCAACCAAGGATCAACCAAGGACCAGCCAAGGATCGTCCAAGGACCAACCAAGGATCAACCAAGGATCAACCAAGGACCAACCAAGGATCGTCCAAGGACCAGCCAAGGACCAGCCAAGGACCAACCAAGGATCGTCCAAGGACCAGCCAAGGACCCTCCAAGGACCAACCAAGGATCAACCAAGGACCAGCCAAGGATCGTCCAAGGACCAACCAAGGATCAACCAAGGATCAACCAAGGACCAACCAAGGATCGTCCAAGGACCAGCCAAGGACCAGCCAAGGACCAACCAAGGATCGTCCAAGGACCAGCCAAGGACCAGCCAAGGACCCTCCAAGGACCAACCAAGGATCAACCAAGGACCAGCCAAGGATCGTCCAAGGACCAACCAAGGACCAACTAAGGCCCCGTCCACACGAAGTCAAACCCTGGCCTAAACGCACACATTTTTCACCAAACCAGCCTCTCATCCATACGAAGCCGGCGTTTCGGGGGTCTGTAAACTATCTTTTTTTTATTCAGCCTTCAGAGTGGGAAGATTTTGAAACGCCGTTTTCGCGTTTCCATCTTTAAGCTCTAACCGCATTTTTTTTTTACACACATGCGTCATAGCGTGGCCTCTAAACACGCATGCGTCATAGCGTCGCCTCTAAACACGCATGCGCGACACAGTATCACAACAACAATGGCGCCGTACTGTGTTGAATGGTTGCTGCTCATGCTACTCACCCTGCTGTCGGGCTTACAACAGAATCTTCTTCTTCTGGAATATCTCCAGGAAGAACAGAGCAATATAGACCACATAGTTCAGCACCTGAATTTGACTGAACCACCAAAATGGACCCGCAGGGCAACCATGTATAAATATCAGTGCGCATGCCCAACATTTCGTCGCCTATTTTTGCTTTGGCACCACAGCGCCACTTACAGGCCTGGCATACATTTTGCAGCGTTTTCATGCATTCGTGTGGACGATCACATTTATTTTACGTCTCCGTCTTTACGACTAACGTTCTGGAAAATATTAGCGTTTCGTGTTCGTTTTGACTTCGTGTGGACGGGGCCTAAGGACAATGGGTCAGTTTTAAATGGACAGCATCAAACAGTGAGTGGTGGTGAAGGCGTGTTTCTTCTCTACTCACGCCTGCATGGTGGTGGTGGCCGTCTGAAAGCTGAACATGTTCTCCTTGGGGAACCAGCTATTAGACCCCTCATCTGAAAAGACAGAACAGGATGGAGGAGGCGGTTCACAGACAGAGAGAGAGATGAGGCTAAAGATTTAATTACAAAGTTAAGTTTATACATTTTACTCTATCAACAACAGATCTACTTTTCTGAAAAGACCCGCCCTCTGTACTTCCTGAGAGGGAATGCCTTTTAAACACTTGTGAGAGCATGCACGAGTCCTTGTGCAAACTGTTAAATTAGCTGTTTGCATCTCTCATATTTTCCCACTATGTCAGACTCACCAGTGCTCAGTTAAAATGGGGACGAGCACGAAGGACGGCTCTACGTAAACTTATCACTAGAATGATTGACAGTTAGAAGGACCACTTGGTTCAAGCAGCATTTCATTCTCTACCTTTGTTGTCAGTGGACGTCCGGTCCTCGCTGTAGACCCTCTCCAGCTTCTTTCGGTGCTTTTCTCCATCCTGTGGGGACGAGTCCAGGTCCAGGGACCGCTGGCTTTGACACGGGGCCCGAATGCAGGCCACACAGTCTGGGCTGTAGTCCTCCCTGGACCCTCCTCTCCTGACCCACCAGTCGCCGATGTCGCTGGCACTCCTGGAGCTCTGTAGTGGCTGGGAGGCTGTTGAAGGGCCCCCTTGTAGCTGGTTGCTATGGTGATGGCTAGTGCGACTATGGCTGCTGTGGGTGTGGCTACCTCGAATAGCCGCAGCTGAGGACTGGGTGTGGATGGCAGGGTTGGAGGGCTGGGGCTCCCTGGGCCCCTTCAGCACCTCCAGCTCTACAGCCTCCTGGCGACCAGCGCCCCCCAGAGTCATCCTGCCTTCCCTTGTTATTGTGTAAACTCTAGACGGCCTCAGAGCAACGCTGCCCTGGGAACCTCTGGCACTTGGTGGGTCCTCTGAGGAGAGGCTTCGCTCTACAGAGAGTCGACGTTTTGAGGGCCCTGGAAGGCCTTGAGTCCTGATGGGGTCGACCTGAGGGAGCACCTGTGGATTTGACCTGGGACTGGGCTGATGGGGGCGGCTGGGCTTAGTTAGGGCCAGACTTTTGTGCGGTCTGTGCGTTGGAAGGGTTTTGTTCTGAAAGCCACCGACGTCTGGAGAGTCACAGTCCTGACCAGCGAATGAGTCTGACAAAAGACGATCTGGGGAGGAAGAGGAAAAGATCCATTTGGGTATTCATGCAAACTCAATAAATCATGTTTATGCAGATATCAGGAGATTGTTTATTCCTCCTTGGAAACAAATGAGGGTTAAATTCCTCCAGGGCTCCAGGATTCAGCCTGAGAACTGGATGACTGCTAATCAACATCCTACAAACCTGGTAAGAAGGTAGAAATGGAGGCTCTGATGCACACAGCAACAACAGCAGGAACAGACAAGGCCACAAGCTAGTCAGCAGTCAGTAAGCAGTCAGTCAGCAGTCAGTGAGCAGTCAGTGAGCGGTTAGTAGGTGAGCAATTCTTACCTGAGAAAACAACCAGAATGTTTCCTTCTATTCTTAATCTCAGCAGGTTTGATTTTCTATGTCAGGCTTTTTCATGTGGAACATCCCACCGTGTGTGTGTGTGTGTGTGTGTGTGTGTGTGTGTGTGTGTGTGTGCTGCATCTGTCAGGATCCCAGTTTTTGTGTTCTCTGTCTGTTTGTCTTGTCTTTTGTGTTTCTCCCTTCCACCACCAGGAGGCGCCTGGCTCCGGTTCGCCTCCTCACACACCTGCAGGCTGTTGCCTCATCACCGGACTGCTCTTAAGCTGCTGGTTGCCACTACCTCGACGCCAGAGTGTTTGCCAGTTTGGGGAACTCTAGCCAATGCTGAGTCTAATCTGAGTTTTGCAGTTTTGAGTTTTTGTTCTCTAGCCAAGCTGAGATCACATAGAGTTTAGCTGAGCGCTTTTTTCTCCCTGAGTCTCAACTTTGTTTGTTCTTTGCCTTTCGGCAGGAAGCCTTCCTGCAAACTGGACCTTTCCGGACCGCCTTCTCCCAAGCGGGATGAACTGAGCCTTAAACTGAGCGACGGATTCCAAACAGGAGGTTTGGATCCAGCCACCTTTGAGCACGCTGAGATCACTCTCTGAGTAAAGAAGTCATCTTCACCACGACCCGTAGTACCACAGGAAAACTGAGTTGCAACCAGCGGCTGCATCATTTCACTCCGTCTGAGTTCTGGGTAAACCCTGTTCCACCCTCCACCGAGTCAAACAAATCCTGGAAGACCAACACACAGACTGGAGTCTACGTGTCTCCTCTTCTCTGGAAACTTTCCCGGCCGAACAGAGTTCGGAGTAACTTTCAATAAAACCTGTTCAAACTCTACTCTGTGTCTCTCTGTTTGGCTTCACTGCATGTGGGTCCGAGCTATAGATAAAATCATGACAGCATCGGCCATATTTCCCTTCCAAAGTCAACGCTGAAGTCTTTGAATTTATAGACTCAACTTTAAATTTTTAGATTAATTTACCATTTAGGCTGGTTGAATGAAGAAAAACATTCCGCTTATGTTTCTGTTGTTCCTCAACACAGGTTACAGGGGTAGTATGATAATAGTAATCTGTGTGCTTAAACCTAAACCTACCCCTGACCCCAGCCTAACCCCTGACCCTAGCCTACACCCTGACCCCAGCCTAACCCCTGACCCCAGCCTACACCCTGACCCCAGCCTAACCCCTGACCCCAGCCTAAACCCTGACCCTAGCCTAACCCCTGACCCTAGCCTAACCCCTGACCCTAGCCTAAACCCTGACCCTAGCCTAAACCCTGACCCCAGCCTAACCCCTGACCCCAGCCTAACCCCTGACCCCAGCCTAACCCCTGACCCTAGCCTAACCCCTGACCCCAGCCTAACCCCTGACCCCAGCCTAACCCCTGACCCTACTCCAACAGTAAGCCTTACCTGCCCCGTTGTGGTTTTCTGGATTTGTGTTGGACAGATGTTCTCCAAATGCTCTGGCTGCTCTGTAGAGACAAAAGAACAGACAGAAGTTAACCTGAAGGCTTCTCTGGATGCTAATATCCACACATAGACCACCTGACTGTTTCAACTCTAGATCAGAGCAGATAAACAGTCTGAACAGTAACACAGAGATGCTGTAGGGACGTATCCTGGCAGCTACACATGCTAACATGCTGGCACCACCAGACACCGACTGGTGTGGAGGAATATCTACAGCAGACTGTTTCATTGCCCTGAAGATTGCCCTCTGGCTTCGTTGGTTGGTCCAAAGAAAGAACTGTCAGTGACTCTATGTGAGATCAATCTACTATAGAAATGAGATGTGGAAGAGAGAATGGATGGTTGTTCAGCAAAGCTCCTCTAACGCTCAGACTTTCCTTCATTTCCCTCCATGGCAGCTCCTTGGCTTTGTAACGACACAGAGCAGCAAACAATGCCATAGAGACAGAGGGCCGACTAACAGACCTCTAGATTACTGTTAATCTGTGTTAATCTGATCATTATGCTTTTTATATTAAAGTCAGAAAAACCCAACTAGAGGGCAGACTTTATGTTATTAAAAGATTTTATAATGAATAAAGGAACTCTATTCTTCCTTTAGTCCCAGTAACTCTGCATTGTGTTTAATAAAAAGAAAGCAGCTAAATATTTCTGTCCATTCTGGGTGTCTGGATCCACGACGATGGAAATAAAGACCATGACTGAAACATCCGCCATGTTTGAGGCTGTCAGTCACCCTGTGGCTGATTGATGACATTCATTTCTCTATTCATCCAGAGATGCATGGCAGGGTTTAGTCCAGTCCAGGGTTTAGTCCAGTCCAGGGTTTAGGGATTAGTCCAGTCCAGGGTTCAGTCCAGTCCAGGGTTTAGTCCAGTTTAGGGATTAGTCCAGTTTAGAGTTTAGTCCAGTCCAGGGTTTAGTCCAGTCCAGGGTTTAGTCCAGTTTAGGGTTTAGTCCAGTTTAGGGATTAGTCCAGTCCAGGGTTTAGTCCAGTCCAGGGTTTAGTCCAGTTTAGGGATTAGTCCAGTTTAGGGTTTAGTCCAGTCCAGGGTTTAGTCCAGTCCAGGGTTTAGTCCAGTCCAGGGTTCAGTCCAGTCCAGGGTTTAGTCCAGTTTAGGGTTTAGTCCAGTTTAGGGATTAGTCCAGTCCAGGGTTTAGTCCAGTCCAGGGTTTAGTCCAGTTTAGGGTTTAGTCCAGTCCAGGGTTTAGTCCAGTTTAGGGTTTAGTCCAGTCCAGGGTTTAGTCCAGTTTAGGGATTAGTCCAGTCCAGGGTTCAGTCCAGTCCATGGTTTAGTCCAGTCTAGGGTTTCGTCCAGTTTAGGGAATAGTCCAGCCCGTCGTTTAGTCCAGTCCAGGGTTTAGTCCAGTCCATGGTTTAGAAAAGTCCATGGTTTAGTCCAGTTTAGGGTTTAGTCCAGTTTAGGGATTAGTCCAGTCCAGGGTTCAGTCCAGTCCAGGGTTCAGTCCAGTCCATGGTTTAGTCCAGTCCAGGGTTTAGTCCAGTTTATGGTTTAGTCCAGTTTAGGGAATAATCCAGCCCATCGTTTAGTCCAGTCCAGGGTTTAGTCCAGTCCATGGTTTAGAAAAGTCCATGGTTTAGTCCAGTCCAGGGTTTAGTCCAGTCCATGGTTTAGAAAAGTCCATGGTTTAGTCCAGTTTAGGGTTTAGTCCAGTTTAGGGAATAGTCCAGCCCATCGTTTAGTCCAGTCCAGGGTTTAGTCCAGTCCAGGGTTTATTCAAGTTTAGGGTTTAGGCCAGTTTAGGTATTAGTCCATTCCATGGGTTAGTCCAGTCCAGGGTTTAGTCCAGTTTAGGGATTAGTCCAGTTTAGGGATTAGTCCAGTCCATGGTTTAGTCCAGTCCATGGTTTATTCAAGTTTAGGGTTTAGTCCAGTCCAGGGTTTAGTCCCGTTTAGGGAATAGTCCAGTCCAGGGTTAAGTCCAGTCCATGGTTTAGTCCAGTCCATGGTTTATTCAAGTTTAAGGTTTAGTCCAGTTTAGGGATTAATCCAGTCCATGGTTTAGTCCAGTCCATGGTTTATTCAAGTTTAGGGTTTAGTCCAGTTTAGGGATTAGTCCAGTCCATGGTTTAGTCCAGTCCATGGTTTATTCAAGTTTAGGGTTTAGTCCAGTCCAGGGTTTAGTCCCGTTTAGGGAATAGTCCAGTCCAGGGTTTAGTCCAGTCCATGGTTTATTCAAGTTTAGGGTTTAGTCCAGTTTAGGGATTAGTCCAGTACATGGTTTAGTCCAGTCCATGGTTTATTCAAGTTTAGGGTTTAGTCCAGTTTAGGGATTAGTCCAGTCCATGGTTTAGTCCAGTCCAGGGTTTATTCAAGTTTAGGGTTTATTCAAGTTTAGGGTTTAGTCCAGTCCAGGGTTTAGTCCAGTCCAGGGTTTATTCAAGTTTAGGGTTTAGGCCAGTCCAGGGTTTAGTCCAGTCCAGGGTTTAGTCCAGTCCAGGGTTTAGTCCAGTTTAGGGAATAGTCCAGTCCAGGGTTTAGTCCAGTCCATGGTTTATTCAAGTTTAGGGTTTAGTCCAGTCCAGGGTTTAGTCCAGTTTAGGGAATAGTCCAGTCCAGGGTTTAGTCCAGTCCATGGTTTAGTCCAATCCATGGTTTATTCAAGTTTAGGGTTTAGTCCAGTCCAGGGTTTAGTCCAGTCCATGGTTTATTCAAGTTTAGGGTTTAGTCCAGTCCAGGGTTTAGTCCAGTTTAGGGAATAGTCCAGTCCAGGGTTTAGTCCAGTCCATGGTTTAGTCCAATCCATGGTTTATTCAAGTTTAGGGTTTAGTCCAGTCCAGGGTTTAGTCCAGTCCATGGTTTATTCAAGTTTAGGGTTTAGTCCAGGGAAATATCAGCTGTGCTGCTGCCATCAACACCTTTGTTTCTAGATGTTGGAGCTTGGCCTGTTTTCCAGTGTAGTCCTGTTTCTCTGACTGTGACTAACTTGATGTGCTCTCTTCATCCTCTGACATGGGAGCTGGCTCGGAGCTCGTCTGCCTGGCTGTGTGTTTCCTGGACGGGGAAACACACAGCAGCATAACCGCAGCATTCTGGTTAGAGGTGAACCCCATAACCGCAGCATTCTGGTTAGAGGTGAACCCCATAACCGCAGCATTCTGGTTAGAGGTGAACCCCAGAACCGCAGCATTCTGGTTAGAGGTGAACCCCATAACCGCAGCATTCTGGTTAGAGGTGAACCCCAGAACCGCAGCATTCTGGTTAGAGGTGAACCCCAGAACCGCAGCATTCTGGTTAGAGGTGAACCCCATAACCGCAGCATTCTGGTTAGAGGTGAACCCCAGAACCGCAGCATTCTGGTTAGAGGTGAACCCCAGAACCGCAGCATTCTGGTTAGAGGTGAACCCCATAACCGCAGCATTCTGGTTAGAGGTGAACCCCAGAACCGCAGCATTCTGGTTAGAGGTGAACCCCAGAACCGCAGCATTCTGGTTAGAGGTGAACCCCAGAACCGCAGCATTCTGGTTAGAGGTGAACCCCATAACCGCAGCATTCTGGTTAGTAGAGCAAACTCAGTATCTGTCTTTCCTAACACGGCTAAACTGTGACATTTTAAATCAAACCTGGAATATAAAAACAAAAACATAACAGTCTTTTAGTGAAATGGTTGAGTCAAAACGTCATAATGAGCACCTGAGGCACCTCAGAAAGTGGTCATTCCCTAAAAACGCCTGATTGATGAAGCAGAGACTCCATGGTCGGATTTAGAAACCTCCTCTTAGCTCAGCTGGTTTACACATTCAGGGTTTTAACTTTCAAAGCTTCTGCTGTGGCTTTCTGCCAGTCAATGTGACAGCTTTATGTTTCAGAGACGTCCTGGATGATTTACTGCTAATAACCACACTGGAGCGAGGCCGAGCTAATCTGAGGACAGGACAGTGCCAGACGCACAGTCCTGAGGGAACCAGGCCATTAAGTCCTGAATCCAGCGTGGAAATGATTTGAGTTCTGAATACGGCTGCACTGATCAGGAGTCACTCCTAGATGGGATCTATGAAAGGAGAGGAAAAACAGCCGGACTCTCTCCTTCCTGTTCCTGGGATTTAAACAGTTATGCTGACTGCTGATAGCTCCTAAAGGGGGGGGTCAGATTGGAATGATTGAACTGATGCAGCGACGGCAGCTTCTCTGATCATAGCATCGCTAACCTTTCTGCACATCTGGGCAGCTGTGAGATCAGGAGACCTTTACCTGCAGAGACAGTTGCTCCATAAACACGTCAGCCATTTCTTCTAAATATTAGCATCAAGATTCCCTCTAATCTCAATCCATCTTAATCCCAATCTCCCCTTCAAACAAGGCAGGAAGCTCCATCACCTCATGGCTTCTTTCCACAGAGGTGGAAGGAAATATATAGAGCCCCCAATCACTGCAGGTGAGGAGGCGTGAAAAGGTGATCATATGGGAGCAGCCGCTAACTAACTAACCAACTAACTAACTAACTAACTGAAAAGCTAGCTAGCTGGTTAACTAAATTACTATCTAACTAGCTAGCTCAATCAGCTAACTAACTAACTAACCAACCAACTAACTGAAAAGCTAGCTAACTGGTTAACTAAATAACTATCTAACTAGCTAGCTCAATCAGCTAACTAACTAACCAACCAACTAACTGAAAAGCTAGCTAACTGGTTAACTAAATAACTATCTAACTAGCTAGCTCAATCAGCTAACTAACTAACCAACCAACTAACTGAAAAGCTAGCTAGCTGGTTAACTAAATAACTATCTAACTAGCTAGCTCAATCAGCTAACTAACTAACTAACCAACCAACTAACTTAAAAGCTAGCTAGCTGGTTAACTAAATAACTATCTAACTAGCTAGCTCAATCAGCTAACTAACTAACCAACCAACTAACTTACAAGCTAACTAGCTACCTAACCTACTAGTTAACTTACCAAGTAGCTACCTAAATATCTAGATACATAGCTAATTAACTAACTATATAAATAGATAAATAACTAGCTGGCTAACTAA